GAACCTAAGCACTTGTGACTTTGTATTCCTCCGACAAGACAGCTTAAGAAAATCTTTACAGGCTCCATACTCTGGTCCTTACAAGGTCATATGCCGTGACGAAAAGACAATTACCATCATTGTAAGAGGCCAAGAAACTAAGGTATCTTTGGACAGGGTCAAGCCAGCCTATATTGTTGTAGATGAAAATCCTATTCCTGAGCCCACGAAACGTTTGGTGCTGACTGGACAAGCAGAGGAAACCTGAAAACTACCACCAAGTCTTATACAACTCGTTCTGGAAGACAAATCCGACCACGGGTAACTTTACAGAATGATGTATAGATTCCTTTTCTCCGTGGGGGACTGGTGTAGCGTCAGCTGATGACACGTTGTCATAGCAACGCATTATGATTTAGTCTGGTTTTTGTTTTTCTACAGGATTGTACACAAAATTTAACTCTTTTATTAAAATACTTTTCTATTACTGATTTGGTCGTAATTTATTTGATGTACACAAACCACCACAACCAAAGGTACAATTCCACCCCGTACACTATCATTTGAACGAAATCTAATATATTTAATGTAAGCAAGTGATCAGTGAACCAGATAATTATATTAGATATTAAAAAGAGCAGGAGATGTACGGCCCGGAATTGTACCCCCCTCTTGGACAGCTAGCTTGGCTTGTGTACGGGCTGGAATTGTACCTCCACCCACTCGATAAACTTAATTGGTATTATGAAAATGAATTACTGTAGTAGCGAATGCCTTCTACAGTGACACATGTTGGATTTTCAATCCTGTACAGAAAATAGTGATTGTACTAAGAAACTATAATTGTGAAGAGATTATCCAAAAATCTAGCTTCGCCACTTTACTTCGCCTCGGGCCATTTGCATATTTTATTCATTTTCTTTAACCTTTTGGTTTTCTTACCTTTTGATTACAGCACATGGCTCACATAGGCCTAATAACTAAGCTAAACTAGTTTGCATACAATAACTATGCTATAAGAATGGAATTGTTATTTGTTCACGTCACTCTTTTCAACATAATTTAATATGACCGTGAAAAGAAGTTAATGTATTTCATTTTTGTTTATTCAAACATAATATGCATTATTGTTCATTCGGTAACAAATTATGAACAGCTATTACTGGCAAAGGTGGACAAAATACCTGTTGTAAAATGTTGTTGTAGGTATCTGGTACAAGGTACAATTCTGGGCCGTACATCTTCTTCTGCGGTCACCGTACAATTCCACCCCGTACACTGGCCAAATAAACGCGAGTTCTAACTGAGGGGGTACAATTCCAGGGGGGTTCAATTCCGATCCGTACAGTTTTTTAGATGCCAGTGGATTTAATCAAACCACTTGTGCGTAACCATATCAAAGTTTTATGAGGGGGGTACAATTCCAGCCCGTACACACCGTTTTGGTCGAGAAAATGTGACGTCACTGACCTGTACAATTCCAGGGGGGTACAATTTCGCCACCCCATAGTAATAAATAGTTATAGGGCCGAAACTTTCCGTTTTCATCAATTTGCTTACATAAATAAAGAAAACAAACTTTGTTCGGCCGTATCCCAGTTAATATTGAGTCTACAAAATTGTTTTACCAACCAAAATTTAGCAAATTTTATGCTTTACAACTTTGTAACACAATGGTACACAAAATATGCTTAATTTACAACATATAAATAAAATACCCTCGCCGCAGCGAACCTGCAGACTAAGCGAATTTCCATTTGTCTGAATTGATTTTCATTAAATATATTTAAATAACATAAGGTTTAACGAGTACCTAGGTTTGCTGCTACAAGAAAACTAATAAAGTGAGTTTTTTAGTCAAATATTAATAGCTTAGTGTAAAATAAATTAATTTGCCAAGTTTGATCAAAATATATCCATAAACTGTACATTTTACAATATTCTCCATAAGAATAACATAGGAATTTTAAATTTACAACTTTTTTAATTTTATCCGTTACCAATAACCGAACAAAAATACTTTGATATACTAAATAATTTGTTTTTTTAAGCTCTTTAAAAAGGTCTAAAGAGAAATTGGGAAATTTTGTGTTTAGAGGGTCAAAAGTGAGAAAAACCAATTTTTACCCCGTAAAACCCCCCATAAACCCCCGTTCCCATAGTCCGATCATGCTGGTTCGCGAACTCATTCAAGTTTATCCTGCTTTACACCTTTAAACCAAATTTCATCAAAATCGGACAAAAATTACTCAAGTTATCGCGTTCACGGACACATATATATATATATATATATATACATATATAAAAATTTGAACGAATGGTGTTTTTGGCCTCTGGGGACATCAAAATGAAAAAGTAAATCGGTCCCGGGCCTAGGTCTTACCATGCCACCTACGGTAATAGCTACTTCCCTATAGGGAAATTCGCTAAAAACTAAAAATACCAAAAAGTTTGATGTTTTTGGCCCCTCCTAAAGTTAGCACAGGGTGCTAGCGGTTGAAAACTCAGGATATACTTCCCAGAGTACCCCCAGACAACATGTAAAAATTCCATCAAGTTCGGAATACTTTCCAGCTACCCCCACTATTTTTCATTATATCAACTGGACTATTATAAATATGAATTTTGTTTACTTTCCAGGTAAAAAGTGTATATCTATTGGACTAAACTTAAAATACGTTTTATAGATATTTTATCTTTCAATTGACACAACCACAATCATTGTTAATTGCATTTTCTTGACTTTGGACTTGGTCTCACATCATGCAAATGTTTTTTTGTACCGTTGTCTGTTGATTGTTAAGGTTTAAAAATAATTTTTTGTTTCCTATATTTGTTTATTGTGTTTGCAAGCCTTTTGCAATCTAAATATTATGAACCAGGTTTATGATTGAGACTTTGCTACTTTTATAATCTCATTGTTTGTAACTCAAGCATTTTATGTGGGCCCTCCTAAATAATTATATCTAAGTCTGGTTCTTTTAGTTCTTTAGACGAGCTGTAAAATACACTGAGAAAGTTTAACTGAGACCATAGATAAAACATACTCCCTTGGTAGATTTCTCATCCTTATGGAACAGCTGAAGACAATTTTATTGTTAGTTCTGTACGGTTTATGTAGAGGTCGTGTTTTGTTTACAATTTGTTTCCTGTTATTACAGCCATTTAAAACCTCGTTTAGCCAAATAATACGATCTAATCATAAACAATAACTTGTCCTAGTTATATAACCAAACAGTAAAGCACAAATCAAGAAATTAACCCTAAAATAATAGAAACAAAGTTTCGTCGACACTAGCGCCCATGTGTCACGTACATGAACTAGACACGAAAGACGTGCTTCAAAATTTACAATGGGATGAGAAGTCTACTTGTGTTGGTTAGTCTATGCTGAGACTAACCTAAGATAAACTAATGATTCGTATGTGTTGATGTTAACTTTACAACTGAAAACAAAATAAACTTACTCTGTGGTAATCCAATTATAGCGTCAAATGATTTTTTAATTTTTAGTAAAAGTTTTGCAAGATTTGTGTTTGTCTTTAAATAAGATTATAATTAATTTGGAGACTGATTAGACAGATGTTAATTTGAGGATATGTTGAGGCGTTTGGGCAAATGTGTCACAATCCTTGAGCTTAGGCTTCAAATTGTAAATTTCGACTTTGAATTAATTTTTCTTCAGTTTGTGAGTCAAATGTATATTTTTAAATTTATTTTATGGGTTTTCTAACTATTGCTAAGCAGTTTTACTAGTCCTCAAAGATGTTATGCTACTAACAAAATATTCATACACAGGGACAAATTTCTAAATAGGCTGAAAAGGCTGCATCCTAGAGCGTCAAAATTCAAGGGGCGGCACTTTGGCAATTTAATAAAAATTGAAAATATGTACTTTGATTATTTCAATAACAGAAACTTCATTAGGCGTATGTTTGATATGTAGCGTATATGTAAAGAAGATACAGTTCATTATGAGTGACAATAGGAAGAGACTCAGTGGTGTCGAGTACAAAAAAACGATCAAAATTTAAACTTTAAGAACAAGAACGTGTTGGTGTTCTGAAACAAACCAAAAATCTAGATTTGTTTTTTAAAACAAATGTTTTGACAGTTAAACTTTCTTTCTTTACTGTGTATTGAGGCAAATACAACAAAAACATTGTCATATGAGACTTTATTAATGAGGTTGCCATTAAGTAATATCATAGACAAAAAGAATTAAATAAATATAGACTGTCAGCCGTGCTGCGGTTACCATAGGTTCCGGCACACACCGCTGTACTTTACGTAGCGCGTACGCCGTAACTACATGGCGCTCCAAGCGGTGTGCGCCAGAACCTATGGTAACCGCAGCACGGCTGACAGTCTATATTTATTTAATTCTTTTTGTCTATGGTAATATCGCAAGAAAACTATGTTGTTTTGAACATAGGTATACAAAAGTATAGAATGTACTTAAGCCTTACGCCAAACATTTAACTATATTGTGTTTTGCAATTATTCATGTTTGTATTTTGGTAGCCTGCATAACATATAGGTACATTTAATGTCAACAAATAAACCAATAATGAAAATTTTTTTATGTTTTTTTTAACCTTAGCACAATTTAATTTGGATAACTGTATCATCATTTGTTGTATAAAACGAATGTATAATATGTATAATTTATGAATCTATTAACTGTGAGTCTAAAATGGGGAGGGTCGCCAATTAATTGGATTTTGCCTACAGGCGGCATACTCCTAAATCCGGCCCTGTTCATACATTGAACTACGGTAGGTAGCAAGTTGACAAACATAATCTTACTTCAAAATATGACCTCTACATGAAGCACAAGTTACAATTTTAAACATGTGTACTATCTTTATATAAGTAGAGAGAAAATTCTTTTGAAATAAGTTATTTAGGGGAAAATATTGAAAACTGAAAACAAATTATTTAGATGAACAAACCTGACGCCAAACCAATGAAATCAGCAACCGACCCATCAATAGTGATTGGGTCTGTTGTTGTCTTACCTAATGGCACCACTAGGAAGCGGATGTAAGTCTGCCAGTCTGGGGGTTTGGATGACAATTGTTCCACATAGTGTCTCAGTACACAGTTAATGAAACTGTCCGAGCCAGCCAACAGAAGTTTGATCTGTGAAGGTGGCTTGGGACTGGAGTTGCAGCTGAAATAAATAGCAACGCTTGTCACCAACTTTTTTAAAGTGTAAAATTGTTTTTCTAGGTTATTTACAGCATTATTTAAGGTTCACATGTTGTTAGGAGTGTTGTTCACATAGTTTAATTGATTGGTGTATACAATGTGTATTTTTGTGGAATAAGCTTTTATTTAATTCATAACTCTTAAAAATGTACCTAACTTGTTTTCTTAAACAAAAGCCGTTGTTTTCAAGTAGTAATAAAATATATTATATAAGCAAATTTAAGTTTTGTGAATTTGTAGAATCACCATAGAATTTAATTTTGGGAATATGTTTTCTGTTTTTTTTTTTTCATAGAAGGAAAATTGTGAATTAGAAAAATAGATTTGTTGCTGATTTGTAGTGACTATCTGATGATTGTGATAACAGACTGGAGAGATAAGGAGGACATAAACACTGACTGATGGAAGTGATAAAAGTTTTGGACTGATTTTCCTGTCTTTTGATGATCTATAGACGAGCCATAAACATGTTAGGCTTTTTTAGCATGGTTTTCAATGACCTTTGTAAAAATATATTTTCCAAATAAATAAAAAAAGTTTAATAACAGAAAAGAGTTGAATGAGTACTTAATCTTTCTGATATTCAAAGGGAAGTTGTATTCCCTCTAAGACTAAGATATTAATGATGGCTTAAACCTATTTATTGATAAATGAAGTACTTTCTGCACTGCTTAACCCGGCAGAGGTCGCACTGAATTGAAAACGTGAAGAGTCACACACAGTCTTTTTAACCGGGTATAACTAAAAAGCCATATTTCTGTAAGCATTAAATGTTAATTGCTCAAAATCATAAAAATGGTGTAAAACATTTAATTCACAACTTTCTGAGTATGCTTTGGATGATAAAACATAAAAGGACAGTTTTAATAAAATCGTACACCTTTCATTGTTTGTTTTGTGTGAACCATTTCATATATAAAATGGTCAAACACTGTCTTATTGAACGGTAATTTCAAAACATGAGGAGACGCACACGGTGGAATCGACCAGTTCATGACAAAAAGCTGTCGCTAGATTAAAATGAGGTGATGAAGGATGGCAAAAAATAGGTCAGTGTTCCTGTAATGTGGTGTGTTATGCACAGTAAAGGCTGACAATACAGACGACCAATGAATATAATTTGTACACAAAAAAGTACTAACCCACTCACTTAGACAGCTATACAACCTCTCCCTTGTTAAAGGTGTCACAGGAATATTTTGTTATTTTGAACAAGGGCTTTACATTAATAATTTAAAGAACTTTGGTAAATCAAACCTCAATAAATGAAAATTCTTTTTATTCATGTCATTAAAAACCTTCCTAAAATGAAGCCTGACCTGTGAATTGTCTTAAGAAAGTTATTTACAAATTTTTCAAAGGAAAAGTTGCAAGTATACTTAGTTGTTTCTTATTTATCATGTATATTCTAATTTAAAATTTGTTACCAATTGTTATAGTTAGGCCGCTTAGCAAGCAACCTGCGCAATTCAATTCAAAACATCTTTATTCATTAGTATATATTGTATATACAAGAATGGTGTCAAATTCATTGTTACATAAAACGAGGTGTAAGCCCGTCCTACGTACGGGAATTCAGTAGTCAGTTAAAACCGTGTACAATTCAGATCAGCTAGTTTACACATATAAAGACAAAGTTTCTTGCAGTTTTAATGTGAAAAATCATCTTGTAAACAAATGTTGTGTGACCAAATATGTTTTTATTCCATCATAGGCCTATACGATATGCATTTTAAATCCGATAATTTTACAATAAAACAGCAATTCTGCAATTTTTACGATGTGAAAAGCGTTGAAGTGAGATTTGCAGCCGATTCGCACAGACGCACACTGATTATAAGTAGCCTACAGTAGAGAGAGTAATAGCTTTGACTATTAATACAAATAGTCAATTGAAAAGTGTATAGACCTAGTCAACGATACCACCTTCCATAGCATACCTGCCTCTTCCCTAATTATTATCACCACAATACAACTACTATACACAATTTCCAGTAGGTCTGAATAGAAACGACCTAAAATAAAACGATAATATCCAATAAACACATAATTTAACTTTGGTGTCCTAACATCAAAACTAATCGTCACACCTATCCTTTATATCAATTTCACTGCATGAATTGCTAAAAAAATAAGTGTAAACAAAGAAAAGTAAAAACAATAACAGTTTGTTTTGAAACAGCTGTTTGGTTCAAATAACATTCATTTGAAAAAAAAAGAACTGGTCACATGTAGCAGGAATATAAAAATTAAAGACGCTAGTAAAGCTAATGACGTAATTGTCAATGTTTATTATCCATACCGTTATCAGTTCTATCCTTGATAATTACCCACCCTCATTGAATAAATGTACATAGTAATTTCCCATATTAGTTAATTTAAACTACAATATATTCATAGTTGAAATAAAAGTGATATTTTCACATTTGGAGGCGCTGATGTAGGCACCCCCAAACGTAACCACAACTAAACACGATTTCATAAAAGGATGGTTTGTCTAATTGCAGTATCCTAGGTCAATGTTGACGATGTGTTCAATCTATGTCATCCATCTGTTTTATCTTTGTATAAAACCCGGCTGAGGTTGTGGTGGTAATTTAAAATCGTGATTGCTGATTATTCTTGATCTTCTTTTTATGACATAAATATTTCCGGGCCTAATCCAAACAAAGTTAAAGCAGACAAACATTAATTGTAAACAAAAAGCTACCATGAAGAATTAAAACATGTAAACATTGTTATTTTTCTATTCTTTCCTTGAAAAGTGGAGCAGTAAAATAATTTGCATTTGTCCTTTTTCATTAAGTCTCGTGTACAGAGCCTCGATTTGTACTGTGGTTTAATTAATTTAGGTCTAGGTCTAAACGACAGTATTTTAAACTGTGGTCTAATTATCTCTACTAATCTTACTTATTTCCTATAATCAATGACAAAATAAGAGTAAATAAAGTCACCTCATAGTTCCATAGTTTATATTTTAACCAGCTGTTAGTTAAAAGAAATTATATTGCTCTAAAACAAATCGAAGATTACAAAGATTGCTTAAAAATATAATTTGAACATCCTTGTATTTTACTATGTATAATTTAATTAATCTGTCATCCTCTTACAGAAGAATTGAACGTATCAATGATTAGCATTACACATAGTATAAGTAAGTCAACCCTAAGTATGTCTTTACATTTTTATCCAAATGCTGAATTTGTGACACAAAAGCTGAATGTTTACAGCTGTTATGTTAAGCAAATTATTTTATGCCAAAAGCTAGTTTAGAATCTTAGCGTCGGCTGCTAGACTTTTTAAAAATTAAATCTTAATTTCTAAAAAACTGGGACCCTAAACTAAAATTATGGCTTCGACATTCCCTAGTTCTCAAAATTATCTTTCTTTCAACACAAAAATCATGAAAATCCGCCGAGTGGTTGATTCAGAATCGTGAAATAAAAAAACACTGTTTCGTTTTAATATTATAGATATAAAGACAAATAAAAGACAAATACAATACACAAGAACAAAACAACAAAACAATACAGTCATCTCTCAAGTAGGTATAAAACAAAAGTATACTTCAGTGAAAACAAAAATATAGTTCAGTGAAACAGCAATAGGCCTAAAACATTTTAAGTCAATGCTGTTATTGCTTAGCCCAGAAGTCTTTGAATTTATAGAGAGTATTTTGTGTCAAATGTAATTTTAGAGAGTTTTTAAATCTGTTGTCATCTGTTTCATTTTTGATTTTTATTGGTAATTGATTAAAAAATTGTATTCCAATGTATGATGGGTTTTGTTTAAATATTTCTTTTTTATGCTTATTAATTTGGAAATTATATCGGTTTCTTGTGTTGTAATTATGATTATCGACGTTTCTAGTAAATGTTGAAATATTACGTTTAACATGAAGAACAGTTTTGTAAATATAAAGGCTATAAACTGGCATGATACCCAATCCAATAAAATGTTTTTTACAGTGTGCATCAAAATCCAATTTAAGCATTGATCTTATTGCATCTTTTTGAAGATGTAAAATTTTTTTGAGGTTAAAATTTGATGTTGCTCCATATACTTCAAGACCATACCCAATATGGCTATAACACTGCTATTAATGCATTTAAGGAAAAAATATAAATATAAATAATACCCCTGCCGCAGCAAACCTGCAGACTAAGCGAATTTCCATTTACTTGGCTGGATTTCTACTAAAATATACTCTGAAAATTGTCAGATTTATTTCCTATTTAAATAACATTAATTTTAATGAGTATCTAGATTTGCTACTACAGGGAGGTATTGAGGTGTGTTTTTATTGAAATGTTGATAGCTTAGTATGAAATAAACAAAATTGCCAAACTTTATTAAAATATATCCATAAACAGGCAAACTACAACAGTTTATTTATTCTCCATAAGAATAACATGGGAATTTTAAATTTAAAGTTTTTTAAATTATCTCCGTAACTGTTAGGTATACAACAACGCTTCAATATACAAAATTATTTCTTTTTTAAGCTCTACAAAATGGTCTGGAAAGAAATTGTGAAATTTTATGTTTTTAGAGTCAAAAATGGAAAAACCCAATTTTTGCCCCATAAAACCCCCCATAAACCCCCATTTCCATAGTCCGATCATGGTGGTTCGGGAACTCATTCGAATAAACGTAAGTTTACACGTTTCTACCAAATTTCATCAAAATCGGATCATTTTTGCTCAAATTATCGCGCTAACAGACACACACACACATATATATATGAATTTGAACGGAGGGTGTTTTTGGCCTCTGGGGACTTCAAAACGAAAAAGTAAATCGGTCCCGGGTCCAGGTTTTATTATGAGTACTACGGTAAAAGCTTATTTCCTATATAGGAAATTTTCTAAAAACATACATACACTGTAGTTGGAATTAAAAATCCCTGCAATTTTTTAAGGTGTAGAGCCTGAAAGTTTTGATCAAGCCAAGACTGAGCCG